AAACAGAAAGCTTATAACTTCAAGCAAAAAGTGATGAACAGGCAGAATGAGTATACAGCATTAAGTGTAGTGCTGAAGGCGAATAAAGGGAAAACTTATAGTGAAGTGGGGGGGTTGCATAAATAAGGACTTACACAGCCAGGAACTCTTGAATCTGAGATACTGGATTAAAAAGTATCTTTTTGCAAGCTAAAATTAGTTTATTATTTTTTGACACTGACAGCCCGATTTGTAGCTGGGCTACCACCAGGCTATTGTATTTGAATGTCACCATTTTGGAGCCATACTTTTCCCTCTTCATTTAATGTATCTCTGTGGTCTGTCATACACTTCCTTGGGCAGAGCAACCCATGCAGACATTCTCAACTCTGTTATGCAAGTCCTGATTTTGTAAGCACTCTGCAATTACAGATAACCTCTCCAAAGAGCCTCCTGGATGCAAACCACTGCCACCTCAAGCAAGTACTTCATATAAATCTTGTTCATAGCTTTATCAAGCACTGTTTTCAAAATAGTGAAGGAATCAATTCTTCCCACTATTTATTATGCTTGTTTATGGTCCTTCCTCCTAAATCCAGACACAAAAATTTGTTCTGCCTTTAGAGGGAGTCAAGTCCGTCCAAGGGACATTTCTTCAAGATGTCTAAGTTTCAAAGGTGTGACCTTTGTTTTAGCTCCTGTTGCAAGGATTTGTCTTGTCCCTTTCTGTGCTGGCAGATGGGAACAGTGACAGTAAGCCAGCCATATAGTTTAAATGGAGTCTGATACAGCTGCACATGGAGAAGCTGTGATATCAGTCAGCATTCATAAACTGTATGTAAACAGATTCCACAAATTGTCATGACTGTTCCTGTGTTTTGTCCATTAAACAAGCATGGTTGTGTCCTGGCAGCAGGAGGCTTCATGCAATGTTTTTTTCTACAAGGTAAACTCTGTTTTTTTCAGCTGGGAGGTCTCCACGTGGAATTCTAGCTAAGTCAAAAGCAGTAGTGTTGAGGATTCATCGGAAACAGTCAATTTAATCCCCTAGCTAGCATAAGTATGTTTTGTTCAATTCAGTCAAGGAATCCAGGCTTATAAAATGACCTTATAATGGGTTTTGAGGAATTGTTTACATGAGAGAATCAAGAAAGATGGAAAACAGAGAGGGTCACTCTTCAGGAACAGGCTGCATACAGGAAATAGGAAACGTATGTGTCAACTTTGCTTCCAAGTTCCAACACTGACATGAAAGAAGACATAAAGAAGGCCATTTTAGGGAAGAAGTTTCCACTTGCCTGTATGGGTTGAATCACACATGGCAGCTAAGAGAAGCCAGCATTATTGAAGCCTGGATAATAATGCTATTGTTGCAATTTCAGGTTAGGATAAGCTTAAAAGCAGTATGCAAGGCTTCCAATTCCTTCTTCAGGACAAGAAGATAAGAGTTGTACTCTTGTCATTCTGTTCTATTTTGGTTAAAGTGAAGCTCTCAGCCTGATGCTGAACTAGCCATAGTATTTCACTGACTTTTAATTAAATTGAACTCATCCTTTAGTTGCAAGTGCCCTGTCACTTCAGTTCATGAGATTGTTTTTTAAGTATTGTACTCAGTGCAACTGCAGAGGGGAGGAATGTTTTCCATCAGCTATATGCAATGATCAACCATACCTTTCCACTTTATTAAATAATATGTTGCAACATTTTAAAAGAAAAAAAGAGAAGAAAGTTTGATGTTTTGAAAAGAAAAGTTAAATTCCAATCCTGATTTACTTCCACGTCTTTACCATTAAGTTTGAGAAAAGATTTAAACTGCTTATATGCCTTTTCATTTCACACTGGATTTATAGGAAGTTTCCAAATAATAACGATCATCTTGGCAGAAATAAATGTAGACCAAATGGTGTAATCCCCACAAGGAAACATAATTCTCTTATGAAGTATTTACAATAGCAAGCTTGGAAAGCCAACAATAGGTTATATTGTTAATAGGTTGTTTATAGCATCTTTTATCGACTGATTCATTCTCAACTGTAACAGATTAAGTCACCTAACATTCTTCATGTGGCAGGCAGTTCAATGTCCATTGTTGCTTTAAGAATCCTCTCAGGTAGCAGAAAGCATCGTTCTGACATAAATCAATAAATAGGACATAAATAGGACCTTGCAAAGTTCAGAAGTTCCCTGAAATGAAGCTGAACTTTCTGATGCTCCCTTCCTGTGACCCTCCAATAACCCTTATCTCCCCTGCCTTCATGACCCTTTAATGTTTCCCTGGCTCTCCATTCCCTTCATCCTCCTTAAGAGCTTGGCTACTTCCCAACTTGGATTCATCCAACAGGCCACCCTCCTTGGAAACTCTCCCAGTCTTTGAAAGTGCTTTGCAGTAGAGTACCCTCAATACTAGTTTGCAAATGGAAATTTCAGATTCTATTGAATGATTCACCTAACTGAATCACATGCATGACCTGGTTAAAACTGGCAAGCTCCTGCAGTGGAAAATTGTGGTACAAAAGTGATCAGCCTTCTACAGAGTTAAGATCAGAACATTTAGGTCTTCTAAAAGGAAAACAAGAGAACAGCTTCGGGATTTGTTGTACAAATGACTTTTGTAATACTTTCTACACAGCTAGCAAAGTATTTTGCTTTGAGGAAACATTGCTGATGAGGGCAAAAATTATTTATTTAAAATGAGACAGCACCAGTTTGAAGTCAGCTAGCTGCACGAGTATTATCAATTGCTACTATCCGAACTGTTTGTAAACTTTGTTTCTTTCTTAGTTCGTAGTATGCTTTTCCACTGAATATTTCACAATTATACATCGTGTAGGAGTCAGACACAAAAAAAAACCCACATTTTTTGATATCTGATACAAAAGTTTCAGTGCTACAGTTTTGTGCATCCCTCAGCATACATTATACGCTTATCTGATAGCTTTGAACATGAGAGGATGCTACATATATCTAACTAGAGTTATATCTAAATCTATTAGATGACTACAGTCCGTGGAAAAATGTAGTAGAGTTTTAGAGGAGGTGTTAACTTTGAGTGCTAAGTATAATATCCCTCAAGAATTTTATTTTTAACAGCTAAATGCAGCATACTTGTTCATAGAGATTTGTTCCAGTACAAATCACAGATTGGCTCTGATGGTCTTCACTTCTTCCAGTTTGAGTACAAACAAACCTGAGCTTCACAGGAGATTTTGTAAAATGAGAAGGTGTCAGAAGTGACCCTGGAACATGCAGCTTTGTGAGTATTTAAGCAAGCAGTGTTAATATAGCAATCTAAACATCTTCGTGTCCCTGGCAAGAGGATGACTAATGATGTGATCCTGGTGACAGGTTGTTTTTTCACTGTTGCCCGTGTCCTTGAGGTATCCCCTAGAATATTTATGAGACGCTAGAATCAGCTCAGTGCTTCTCAGGGGCACTAGCAAAGTTTAAGTTTGTCATCCCAAGGGTAAGGACAAAATTGTGTTCACCCTTGGATATAGTAAAATTTAGCCTCTAGATTCACAGATGAGAGTGACAAGGGTGAAAATGATATTGAGTGGCAGCAAAGTCTCCCATGGTGTCATGACAAAAGAGCAGTTCAGAGCAGATCCAGGTTGTTTAGTGGCAGCAGAGAAGGTGACCTGAGATGGGTCAGTGGGACCTCTGGGTAGGTAAGTTTGGGAGTTAAGAACCCCCTAAAAGTTTGGAAGGGTTGAGATAAAGTTTGGAATATTTGTTTAGGGCAAGGTGACTCTTAAGTGAAAGGAAGAGCTGTCAACCCCAGAGCAGTGGCCACTACACCTTGACTCTATCCTTGGTGGCAAAATAAGCACTAATCAGCTCTTTCTTCTATTGTAGATAAAGTAGACAATGGTGACCTTGCTGTCCTTGGCAGTTGACTGTCTACTCAACCTCTTGCTTGCTTATGACTAAAGCTAGCCTGCTAGTTATTTTGTATTCTTGCAGTAAATCAATAGCCTCTACCATGGCAGGCTTACAGTCTGAATTTTCTGTTCTGATCCTTGGAGGACAATCACGAAAGATTTGTCTCTGTGAGAAATTAACATTCAACTGATACAACACAAAGTTATCTGTATACAGGGAAAGATTGCAGATTGAAAAACTGACGTATCTTTAGCACCGTGTCCTTGAGACTAAACAGAGTGCCCTTAGCTTCTCCTCATACGGCGTGTGCTATGGCCCCCAAAGCATCTCAGTAGCTGTTATTGATAAACTTGTTCCATTTTATTAATATTTATTTTGTACGAGGAGAATCAAGGGTGGTCTGAGAATGAGGGATACCACCTCACAAGTGCTGAGTGAAGATGCCTAATCATTTCCTCCAACCTGCAGTCAGGGAACCTTTTCCTTGCTGACTGTCCCTTTGGAAATTGGACGTTGACATCCCTCTACTAAGATCCTTATTTTCATTTCTTTTGAGACCAGGAAATTATGTTTAACTACCAGCACAAATGACTTAGAAATTAAAGACTGTGTCAGAAATACCGGTTCTGTCAATAGCTGATAATAAAGCATATTGATTTTACTCAAACCCCATGTATTTCAGCAGCCTCAGTTTGTGCAAACCCATCTTTTTTCATGTCCTTTATGACTTTACACCCTCTGAGACTAGAATTTCTGATTTACATTGTTCAGCTGATCATTAGGGGTAGGATATTTTTGATGTTATTTGTCTGCTATTTAAAAGTATAACAGAGTAGTAAGGTAAATTGATCCTTGTGATAAACCACTGGTTGGTAACCTTAAAAAGAGAGATGGTGTTCATTAATATGTACTGATTTAATTTGTTTCAGGATAAAGTAAAACCAAAAGGAAAACCAGAACAACACAGAAATGC